AAACTTGCCTCCTTGGCTCCCCTGGTTTTCATATCTTCAGGTGAACTGTGCCACCAGCTTTCCTGGGTCTCCAGCTTGCAGACAGCAGATCATGGAACTTCTCAGACTCCATAATCCTGTGAGCCAATTCCTCATAATCTCTCTCTTTATATATACATATGTGTATTTTTTATATATACATATATACATATGTGTATATATATTCTCAGTTGGTTCAGTTTCTTTGGAGAATCCTGATAAATACATTAATCATTAGGGACATGCAAATTAAAACCACAATAAGATACTATTTCATAATTATTGGGGTGACCATTATTTAAAAAACAGACAACAAGTGTTGACAAGGATATGGAGAAATTGTAATCCATATGCATTGCTGGTGGGAATGTAAATTGGTGTAGCTACTGTGGAAAACAGTATGGCGGCTCCTCAAACAATTAAAAATTACTGCCATGTGATCCACAAATTCCTACAAGAATTGAAAGCAGATACTTGAACAGATATTTATACACCCATGTTTATAGCAGCATTATTTACACTAGCCGAAAGGCAGGAGCAACCCAAATGTATTCGTTTGCTAGGACTGCCATAACAAAATACCACAGACTGAGTGGCTTAAACAGAAATTTATTTTCTCACAGTTCTGGAGGCTGGAAGTCTAAGATAAAGGTGCTGACAGGATTCATTTCTCCTGGGGCCTCTCTCCTTGGGTTGAAGATTGGCTGCCTTCTTGCTATGTCTTCTAGCCTTCGTCTCTTCTTAGAAGAACACAAGTCCTATTGGACTAGGGTCCCACCCTTATCACCTTATTTAACCTTAATTACTTCTTAAAGGCACCAAATACAGTGACATTGGGAATTAGGGCTTCAACCTACAACTTTGCAGGAAGCAAAATTTAGTTCCTAACTAATATCCATTGATAAATGAACAGATAAACAAAGTCCTACCCACGAGGTTGGAGTTTGGGGATCGCTTGGGCCCAGGAACTTAGGGACATTTTGGGCAACATAGCGAGACCCCACCCCATCTCTAAAGATACATACATACATACATTTAAGAGAAAAAAAATAACACAGGAGAATTGCATTTTTTAAAGAAATGTGTGGTTATCTTTAATCTGCCACAGCCCCTAGACAATATGGCTTTTAGTATTTTTAGTGCCAGATGGTGGCAGGGGACCCTGTACATGCTGAACATTCCACAGCAAAGTCACTTTCTTATTTAGGTTTATCCTAATATCTTCTTTTTCTTTTTCTTTTCTTAAAAACGTTTTTAAAATTATGGAACATTTCAAACACATAAAAAGGACAGCATCATAAACCCTCACATATACTCATCAGCCATTCAATTGTCAGCTCTTGAACAATCTTGTTACAGCCATAATTCCACCTACTTCCCCCCCACTCCCATCTTATTTGAAGCAAATCCCAGACATCAAGCCATTTTATCTGTAAATTTAGAATGTGTCTCTAAAAGATAAGAACTCTTTTCTTCCAAACATAGAGCCACAATACTACTATTCCACATTTTAAAACCACAACATTCCTTAATATCGATGAATGTTCAAGTCAGTGTTCAAATCTCCAATTGTCTCATATGTGTCATAAATGTGTGTGTATTTTAAAGTTTGTTCAAACTGGAATCCAAATGAGGTCAAGACATAGCTATTGGCTGACATTTCTCTAAATCTCTTTCAATCAATAGGTTCCTCCTTCATGTATTTTTTCCTTGCAATTTATTAGTTGCAGATATCATGTTGTTTGTCCCATGGAGTTTCCCACAGTCTGGAGTTGGCTGATTTTACCTGGTGATGTCATTTACCATGTTACTCAGTCTCGTGTATTTTCTGTAAATTTTTAGTTGACTCTGGAGACTTGAACAGATTAAGGTTTGATTTTTGTTTGTCAAGAATATGTCATGGGTGGTTTACTGGGTATAATAGTGTCCCCCAAAATTCATGCCCACCTGGAGCCTGTGAATATGATCTGATTTGGAAGTAGGATCTTTGTAGATGTAATCAAGTTAAGATGAGGTCATACTAGATTAGGGTGTCCTTAGAAGAGGGAAATTTGGGCATAGATACACATAGAGGAAAGATGGCCATGTGAACATGGAGGCAGATATTGTAATTATGCCACCATAAGCCAAAGAATATCAAAGATTGCTAGAAACCAGCAGAAGCTAAGAAGAAGCAAGGAAAGATCCTCCCCTAAAGCCTCTGGGGGGAGCACAACCCTACTGACCCCTTGATTTCAGAGTTTTTGACTCCAGAACTTTGAGAGAGTAAATTTGTTGTTTGAAGACACACAGTTTATGGCATTTTGTTACGGCAGCCTTAGTACACTAATACCGTACTGGTTTGTTTCTCCATTAAAAAACACATCAGTCTGGGAAGCATAGCAAGATTCATCTGTACATAAAGTTTAAAAATTGTCCAGGCGTAGTGGCATACACCTGTAGGTCGGCTACTGGGAAGACTGAGCAGGGAGTATCTTGTGAGCCCAGGAATTTGAGGCAGCAGTGAGCTATGGTCACACCGCTTCACTCCAGCCTGGGTAACAGAGCAAGACTCTGCCTCCAAAAAAATAATAAAACTAGCACAAATTATCTGATTGTATCTCTTTTGTATGCTGGCAGCCACTGATGATTAATTCTATTATTCTTCTCTTACTTATTAGCCAGAATACTTCCATAAAAGGAAATATCTTCTCATGCACTATTTGAGTCATCAGTGGTACAGTTTGTATAGAAAATAGTATACATTCTGGTTTCTTTTGATTTGTCTTTATACTTCTCTATTTTATTAATAATAAATTGATTTGTTAGCATCCTCCAGTAGTGACTAATTAACTGAGTTCTGTTTTGTTTTTGTCTCATTCTTTTGGTGCAATAACATATTCTAGGCTCTTCTAGTATACTTTTTGACCCAGACCTTGAATTAGCCTTTTCTCCAAAGAGCCCTGTTCCTTTCTGTGAGAAATGGTGTTTCAAGGTCATAATCTTGATCTTACATACCTTTATTTCAAATTACAGCCTGGCCCATTCTTTTTCTTCTCAATCCCCTTTTTCCAGTTCTATTTTTCCATAGTACTGTTTTCCTCCTAACATGCCATATCATTTATACAATGTGTTGATTGTATACTGTAAGCACCACAAAAGTAGAGACTTTGTCTCTTTTTTGTTGTTGATGGTACTCACTGATATATTCCCAGTATCTATAATAGTGTCTGGCCTATAGTGGGTATTCAATAGATATCTGTTGAATAACTGAATAAATTGTACAAACTGAGCCTGGACTTGCCTGGACATTTGATCTCATGTATGCCAAAGTCACCTGCCATAGTGAAAGAAGAAGGTCTTTTGTGTGGACAGATTTTCAAATACCAATTCCATCGCCTTAATGATTATTGCATTCTTTTTCAGATTTTCTTTTTTTATTCTTTCTTTCTTTATTTATTATTTATTATAAAGATGTGGGGTACAATTCAGGGTAAGGTATTTAAACATTGATCATGCAGGTACCTTAGTTGATGAGGTATGCCCTTCCCTCCCCTAGCAGTTTCCCTCAACTGCTAATCCCAACCCCCCCAACAGTTTTCCACTACTGCCAATCACTTTCTTATAGCATTATAATTGTTCAAGGTCACCTTATGAGTGAGAACATATGGAACTCAGTTGTTTGTTTCTGTGATAAATCACTGAGTATGATCGACTCCAAATTCATCCAAGTTGCTGCAAAGTCCATATATTTGTCCTTCTTTATGACTGCATAATATTCCATTGTGTATATGTACCGCATTTTTTTATCCAGTCCAGCTTCGATGGGTAACATGGTCGATTCCATGTTTTTGCTATAGTGAATAGAGCTGCAACAGACATACGTGTGCAGGTATCTTTTTTATAGAATAGTTTGAGTTCGTCCGGGTATTTTCCCAATAGGGGAATTGCTGGGTCATACGGAAGGTCAATTTCTAGTTCTTTCCAAAATCGTCACACTGTCTTCCAAAGAGGTTGTACTAGTCTGCATTCCCACCAGCAGTGTAGAAGTGGTCCTTTCTCTCTGGAGGATCGCTTGAACCCAGGAGTTGGAGGTGGTGGTGAATCATGATTGTGCCACTACTTCCAGCCTGGGTGACAGAATAAGACTCTGACTTTAAAAAAAATTAGAATCATGGGGTACCTATGAGAATTTATTGCATAGGTATATTGCAAGAAGACAAGGTTTAGGTTTCTGACAAGCCTGCCTCTCCTCCAGTGGTAAGCATGGTACCCAATGGGTGGTTTGCATCACTTATTCCTCCTCCCTCCCTCTCGCCCTCCCTTCTCTAGCAGTGCCTGGTGTCTATTGTTCCCATCCTTGTGTTTGTGTGCTCAGTGTTTAGTACCCACTTATGAGTGAAAGCATGAGTTATTCTGTTTCTGTGATAATTCACTTAGAATGATGGCCTCCAGCTGCATCCATGTTACTGCAAATGCCATGATTTTGTTCTTTTTTATGACTGTGCAATATTCCACAGTGTATATGTACCACATTTTCCTTGCCCAGCCCACTGTCGATAGGCACCTGGGTTGGTTTCATGTTTTTACTATTGTGAATAGTGCTGCAATGAACACACACGTGCAAGTGTCTTTTTGGTAGTATGCTCCTTTGGATATATTCCCAAAAGTGGGATTGCTGGGTCAAATGGTAGCTCTGTTTTTAGTACTATGAGAAATCGCCAAACTGCTTTCCACAGGGATTGAACTACCTTACATTCCCACCAGCAGTGTACAGGCATTCCCTCTACTCGGAAGACTTCCCAACATCTGTTGTTTTTTGACTTTTTAATAATAGCCATCCTGACCTGTGTGAGGTGATATCTCATTATGGTTTTGATTTGTGTTTCTCTGATTAGTGATGCTGAGCATTTTTTCATATGTTTGTTGTCTGCTTGTATGTTTTCCTTTGAGAGTGTCTGTTAATGTTTTGTTTTGTTTTGTTTTGTTTTGTTGACCTCTGAACTTCTTATTGGCCTCCTTCTTCCTCGCAGAGTATCGTGCTCCTGCTGCCTCAGCACCTCTGAACTTCGGCGTCAATGGTCTCAGACACCACTTTGCCATCCACTATCCTGCGGGTGGTGGTCTTTTGGATGGTCTGAAAGGAGATGCTGCTGTCCAGGGCATCCCCGAGACTGAAGTCCTCCCCGTTCTCCAGCAGGCGGCGGTAGGTGGCGATCTCAGCCTCCAGCCTGACCTTGATGTTCAGCAAGGCCTTGTACTCCTGGGCCTGTCGCCGGCCTTCTGCCAGGGTCTGTGCCAGCTCCGACTCCAGGTACAGCAGTGAGGGTGCCATTGAGCTGCTCCATCTGAATGGCGTAGTGGGCCTCCACTCCCCTCAGACTGTTCTCCAAGCTGGCCTTCAGATTTCTCATTGAGTCCAGGTTGATCTCCAAGGACTGTGCCATACACCTCAGCTCCACCGGTGTCATCTCGGCAGCTACCGTCTCGACGGACTGCGTGGTGACTGCTGTGGTACTCTCCTCCATCTGCTGGGACTTGTACTTGTCCAGTTCCTCTCGGTTTTCCTGAGTCAGCTTGTCATACTGGGCCTGGATGTCCACCATGATCTTGCTGAGGTCCTGAGCTTTGGAGGCATCTACCTCCACGGTCAACCCAGCACTAGCAATCTGGGCTTGTAGGTCTTTTACTTCCTCCTTGTGGTTCTTCTTCATGAAGAGCAGCTCTTCCTTGAGGGCCTCGATTTCTGTCTCCAGCTGCAGCCAGGTGACGTTGGTGTCATCGATGACCTGGCGGAGCCCATGGATGTCGCTCTCTACAGACTGGCACATGGCCAGCTCTGACTCACACTTGACTCTAAAGTCATCAGCAGCAAGAAAGGCGTTGTCCATCTGCAGAACGATTGGGGGCATTGTCCACAGAAGTTGCAAAGATCTGAGCCCTCAGGTCCTCAATGGTCTTGAAGAAATGCCCCCAGTCCCTGACCTGAGGTCCCTTCTTCTCCAGATATTCCAGAATTTTGCTCTCCAGCCTCTGGTTCTCAGTCTCCAGGCTCCTCACCCTCTCCAGGTACGAGACCAGGCGGTCATTCTCCTTCTCGCTCTGGATGTCTCCCAGACCAACGACCATCCTCGTGACCAGGACTCTGGGCCACCAGTCACCTCAGAAGCTGGTGGAGCAGGACACAGAAATCCAGGAGCCAAGCCTTCAGCACCTGCATACATGCTGACCCCGCTGCTGGTGGGCCAAAGGATGGGCGGCTGGATGGAGCCCAGGGACCAGTAGTTGGTGGAGAAGGTGGTTGGGCGAGTGGTGAAGCTCTTGGTGCTGGTAGAGGAGAGCAAGATGGCAGGACTCATGTTCCCTGTTCATGTCCTTTGCCCACTTTTTAATGGGATTGTGTGTGTGTGTGTGTGTGTGTGTGTGTGTGTGTGTGTGTGTGTTTTCTGTCAAATCGTTTGAGTTCCTTATAAATTCTGGATATTAAGTCTTTGTTGGATACATAGTTTGCAAATATTTTCTCCCATTCTGTGGGTTGTCTCTTTACTCTCTGGATGGTTTCTTTTGCTGTGCAGAAACTTTTTAGCTGATAAGGTACCATCTCTCAATTTTAGTTTTTGCTGCACTCGCTTTTGAGGACTTGGTCATGAATGCATCACATTGGCCAATGTCCAGGAACGTGTTCCCTAGGTTTTCTTCTAAGATTTTTATGGTTTGAGGTTTTACATTTAAGTCCTTGATCCATTTTAAGTCCATTTTTGTATACGGTGATACATAGGAGTCCAGTTTCATTCTTCTTCATATGTTTAGCCAGTTTCCCCAACACCTTTTGTTGAATAGGGTATCCTTTCCCCAATGTTTGTTTTTCATACTCAAATTGTGACAATTGTCTGAATACAGTCCAGATTACACATTACATTTGTCTCCTGAATAAAAAATTTCTCAAACTTTTTTTTAAAAAATGAAATTGATATTTTTGAAGCATATAGGCTTGTTGTTGTAGAATGTCTCCCAAATTGGGTTTGTCTGATGCTTCCCCATAAATAGACTCAGGTTGTGTGTTTTTTTTTGGAGGGCAACCATAGAAATGATGCTTGTTCTTTTCAGGGAAGCAAGGCAGGAGATACATGGTGTCACTTTGTCCCATTATGGTTGATGTTCTTTGATTTCCTGATAACAGTGGTGCCTTACCATTGTAAAGTTACTACTCTTACCTCTGTAATTAATTTATGGGTAACAGTTTGGGACTATATAAATATCCTATTCCTCTCAAACTTTCACCCACTACTTTAAGCACACATTGATGATTCTTGCCCAAATGAGTTATTACTACAATGGCTGCCAAATTATGATTTTATCTATTTGTTTGTTAAAGTACAAACTCATGGATTCATATTTAATGGGTTATAATCCTTTACTATCATTAATGGATGCTCAAATTGTCCCAGACTTGGTCATTAGAAATCCCTTCAAGATGGCTCCTGCGTCTTCTTGTCATGTCCCCAGTCTTTTGTAAGCACTTCCTTATTTTCTGGAACCATGACATTACATTACCTTGTATTTCCCTTGCCCCACAGCTGGAATTAATCATTTCTCTAAGGAACCCAGCTTCCTCTTCGTAGAGAATGGTATCTAGAAACCAAGACCTGGGAGCTAGGTGTGTTCATTGCTACTGGGATGACTGATTCTAGGCCTTCTCAGAGGACACACATATGCATTATACACAACCACGCATATATCTATGCCAATTTATACATCTAGCTCCCTAGATTTATTAAAAATCATGAGTTCACTGTAGTATCTCTCATTCCAACATAACACCACAGGGTTCATACAAACTTTCCTCCTTTTAGTAATTGTAACTCCTTTCTCTAACAATAAGAAACCTGTCTCCCTATGACCGTAAGATATTTACTTATTTTGTCAATCCTAGATGTACAAAAGGTATTTCAGAATTGCTAACCCATGAATCCACTAAATAAAGTCTAACTAGAGTTCAATATCTATTGAGTATTATTCTTTGTCTCTATTCTGAGAACATGTAGTCCAAGTATAGTATTTTAAAAGTTACTTGAGTTAGTTAATTTGTTCTCTTTGTAGTCAATATTAGAATTTCCACCCAATTTGTTTTCTTTCTTTTGAGTATGTGAAATACTGATATTGTTCCAAAGGTCAGGACTGTGTGCGTGCACACACACACACACACACATAAGATATATTCAGAAGTGTCATTCCTACTTCCAGACACTCTCAATCCTTCCTACCCTATTACCACCCATTCATTGCATATGTTGAATTCATAAATTTATCTTCCATGTGCTTCTTTTTACTCACATATTTATGTCCCATTCTTTTTTCCACATAAGGTAGTCCACCCACATTGTATGTATGTATGTGTGTGTATATATATATTCTTTTATACTTTTATATTTTCGCTTAGCAATATATTCTAAGAATCCCTCCTCATCTATCTATAGAGATATTCATTCTTTTTCATAGCTGAATAGTATTCCATCATGTGGATGTACCATACTTTATTCAAACACTCTTCTATGCTATGCTTGGGTATGTAGGTTGTTTGCAGTATTTTGTAATTACAAGTAATGCTTCAATAAATAAATCTGTGGATATACATTTCTGTTCATTGTCAAAGTATCTTCGGGGTAAATTACTAAAAGTGGCTCAAAAGGTAAACACATATGTAGTTTGGTTGGATGTGCCAAGTTTGTTCCATTGGCATTACCAATAAAAATGCCTGCAAATGACCATTTCCTTGCAGTCTTATCAACAGCATTGTATTGATTTTTCTCAAAAAATCAACTTTTGGTTTCATTCATTTTCTCTATTTTTCTTGCTTTCTATTTCATTGATTTCTGCCATTATTTTTATTACTTCCTTTCCTGTGGTTACTTCACATTTAATTTGCTATTTTTCTAGTTCCCTAAGATGAAAACTGAGATCAGATTTAACAACTTTCTTATTTTCTTTTTTTATATAATCAATATTTTTATTATGATATTGTGGGGTACAGTTAAGGGTTAGGTATACAAATATGCTTCGTTCAGGCACCTTTGTTGATATCAGGTGTCTCCCCATCCCCAGACAGATGTTTACTACCATTAATCCCATCTCCCTTCCCCTTCCCCCATAGTTTCCCACAACTGTCAGTCATTTTCTTGTGGTAATACGTTGGATGATCAAGGTCCACTATATGAGTGAGAACATGTGATACTCAGATCTTTGTTTCTGTGAGAGGTTACTCAGTATTATAGACTCTAGTTCCATCCAGGTTGTTGCAAAATTCATGATTTTGTTCTTTTTTAGGGCTGCATAGTATTCCATCGTGTATATGTACCACATTTTTTTAATCCAGTCCTCTTTTGATGGACAGTATGGTTGGTTCCAGGTTCTTGCTATTGTGAACAATGCTGCGATAAACATTCGTGTGCAGGTATCTTTTTGATAGAGTGATTTGAACTCTTCAGGGTATATTTCCAGTAGGGAGATTGCGGGGTAATATGGGAGGCTGATATTTAGAGCTTTTAGGAATTGCCACACTGCTTTCCACAGAGGTTGCACTAGTTTACACTCCCACCAACAATGTAGAAGTGCTCCCTTTTTGCCACACCCTCTCCAGCAACTGTTATTTTTTGAGTTATTGATAATTGCCATTCTGACTGGAGTTAGGTGGTATCTCAGTGTGGTTTTGATTTGCATCTCCCTGATGATTAGTGAGGGTGAACATTTCTTCATGTGTCTGTTGGCCGCTCGGATGTCTTCCTTTGAGAAGTGTTTGTTCATATCTTTTACCCACTTTGTAATGGGGTTGTTTGTTTTTTTCCTCTCAGCACGTTTGAGTTCCTTGTAGATCCAAGATGTTAAGCCTTTGTCAGAGATGGAGTTGGCAAATACCTTTTCCCAGTCTGTGGGGCTGTCTCCCTGCTCTCTTGATGGTTTCTTTGGCTTTGCAGAAGCTTGTCAGTTTAATGAGGTCCCATTTGTCTATCTTATCTCTTATGGACTGTGAGTTTCGGGTTTTGTGCCGGAATTGGATGCCAGTTCCAATTCCCATAAGCGTATGTCATGCATTTTCTAAGGTTCTTATGGTTTGAGGTTTTACATTTAGGTCTCTGATCCATTTAGAGTTAATTTTTGTGTATGGGGACAGATAGGGGTCTTGTTTGAATCTTCTGCATGTGGTCAGCGAGTTTTCCCATCACTATTTACTGAATAGGTTCTCCTCTCCCCAGTGATAGGTGGTGGAGGCTTTGTCAAACATGAGTTGGTTGAAAAATTGAGGTTTAGCTTCTGGAATCTCAATTCTATTCCATTGGTCTATATGCCTGTTCCTGTACCAATACCAAGCTGTTTTGATTATTGTAGCTTTATAGTAAAGTTTGAAGTCTGGTAATGTGATACCACCTGCTTTTTTATTTTATTTTTTTTATGAGGATTGTTCTGGCTATTCTTGGTCGTTTGTGTTTCCATATGAATTCCTGTATCGTTTTTTCTAGCTCTGAGAAGAATGTTGCTGGTAATTTGATGGGTATTGCATTGAATCTGTAGATTGCCTTAGGTAAGATGGACATCTTCACAATGTTGATTCTTCCAACCCATGAGCATGGGATATTTTTCCACTTGTTTGTGTCATCTTTGATTTCTTTGAGCAGAGTTTTGTAGTTTTCATTGTAAAGGTCTTTCACATCTCTGGTTAGGAAGATGCCAAGGTATTTCTTTTTGTGTGTGTGTGGCTATTGTGAATGGAATTGTGCTTTTTATTTGGGTTTCTGTTTATTATTGGTGTAAAAAAATGTGATTGTCTTTTGCACATTTATTTTATGTCCTGAGACTTTGCCAAAGGCCTTTATCAGTGTAAGGAGGTTTTTGTCAGATTTTCTTGGGTTTCAAGGTACACAATCATGTCATCTGCAAAGAGAGATAACTTGACTTCCTCTTTTCCTATTTGGATACCCCTGATTGCCTTCTCTTCTCTGATTGCTCGAGCCAGGACTTCCAATATTATGTTGAACAGGAGGGGTGACAGTGGGCATCCTTGTCTTGTTCCAGTTTTCAGGGTAAATGCTTCCAATTTTTGTCCATTTAGGAGTATGCTGGCTGTGGGTTTCTTGTAGATGGCTTTTGCTACTTTGAGGTATGTTCCCCCTATGCCTAAATGTTCGAGGGTTTTTATCAAGAAGGGGTGCTGGATTTTATCAAAAGCTTTTCTGCATCTAATGATATAATCATATGGTTTTTGTTTTGACATCTGTTGATGTATTTAATTACACTTATAGTTTTACGAATGTTGAACCAGCCTTGCATCCCAGGGATAAAGCCCACTTGGTCATGATGGATGATT